CAGAAAACTCAGGATTCTCCCTCAGGTCTCTTGCTAGGTTACTACACAACTACATTTCTAAGTAATAATTAAGGAAATGAATAAACAAAAATCAAACATGCAAAAACAAACAAAGAAAAAGACAAATGAGGTCTAGGACTTTGACATTAGTCTTTCAAATAAAGCTCTTACTTAGTTGTAAGGGTATTCATCTAGTTTAACCACAACTGTCTTCTTACCTCTAGCTTTGATTTCCCTGAGTGTAGTTTGATGATGATGGTTATTGCTAAGTACCTTATAGGCATTCTCAGTTTATGACATATAAAACATCTTTAGCTTTGGGGAAAAAACTTGCTCTAGAAATATGAAGTTCATTTTGGATGATGAAGTGGGTAATACATCTACCAATGCAAATGAATTGCTCATTAAGAGCCCGTGTATGGTTATGTTTACAGTCAAGTGAAAACCATTCTTAATAAGAAAGTTTAACAATTTACATAAACACTTGAAAAATATGGTCTTTTAGAGCATTTTAAAATGCAGATCATTATATTTCAGAATGAAAAGGTAATTTTTTTAGGTTCTGTGATATACAGTCAATAATCATTCAGCAATATTGCAACTCAGTGAGATATGTAATTAATCTGTTGAAAAATTATAGAGTTTGCAATATAGAACAAAGGAAATATTAATAAACCATGTTTGGTTGGCAATGGGAGATTTCACAAGGCATTGACAAATGGTGATCACTTACTAAAGTTCATTAACCAGATTGTTAATAAATAAATATTAAATCAGTCAATTTTTGTTTAGGGGCTTCATTCTGGACTTGTTTTCTTAAAAAAGCGTTACTACTGCTCCAATGAATTTAAAAACTAACCATAAAATCCAAAGAGTACATCCAAGAAAAGCATCTATGTTTGAGTACAATTTAACAAATTTCCCTAGGTAATCAATTTCATGGAATATTGCTGGGCTGGCACATTTCTTCTTCTAGTACTCACGAGAATATTGGAAAGACAGGACACATACACTTAGTGAATGTTTATAATAAGTTTAATTAAGATAAAGCAACATTAATTCAATGGTTTGCCTATGAAGTTGGCAACATCTCTTCTTCTGTGCTGCCAAAATCATAATCTCATGAGTGTTTCTGTCAGCTATTTTAGAAGAGCTTAATGTGGGGAGTTTTCCTTTCAGGCTTTCTTGAGTAAGGTGTGCTTCCCTCTTTTTCGGGCAGTTTTCCTTTTTACTCAAGACAATTACTTCTAAACCTCTTGAGACTGGTAAAGTCCCACAGTCACCATCTCAACCTCATGCCTATGTTACTCACCTAAACCTGTACTCATGTGGCAATAAACCTGTCACAACTTTGCCACAGGATGGGGCACTTCTTACTTTTGACCTGAAATCTTCAATTATTTTATTGTATATATCTAGATTGTACAATATGATGTTTTGATATACATATACATAGTGAAATGGTTACTATAGTCAAGTTAATTAATGTATCTATCATCTCATATAGTCATTCCCACTTTTTTATGACAATAGCATGTAAAAAGCTCTCTTTATGACCCTGAACATGTTTAATCTCATCTGAAGTCTTTTTTTTTAATTTATTCTTTTTTTCTTCCAAAATATTAAGATTAAGGGGGTACAAATGTTTTTGTTACATGGATATCTGTATAAGGCTTAAGTCAGGGCCTTTGGTGTGCCTGTCACCAGAACAGTGTTCACTGTACCCAATAGGTAAGTTTTTATCACGTACCCTCACACCCTCGCCTCTTATTGGTTTCCAATGTCTTTTATATCTCTTTATATCCATGTGTATCCATTGTTTAGCTCCCACATATTAGTGAGAACATGCGGTGTTTGGTTTTCCCTTCCTGAGATATTTCATTTAGCATAATGGTCTCCAGTTCCATCCAAGTTGCTGCAAAAGACATTATCTCATTCCTTTTTGTGGCTGAGTAGTATCCCACATAGACCACGTTTTCATTATCCAGTTGTGAATGAATGGGCACTTAGATTGATTCCACATGTTTGGAATTGTGAATTGTGATGCAATAAACATTCGAATGCAGGTATCTTTTTTATAAAATGACTTCTCCTTGGAAGAGATATCTAGCATTGGGATTGCTGGATTGAATGGTAAGTCTACATTTATTTCTTTGAGGAATCTCCATGCTGTTTTCCATAGAGGTTGTACTAATTTGCAGTCCCACCAACAGTGTAAAAGCATTCCTTTCTCTTTGCATCCATGTGAGCAGCTATTGTTTTATGACTTTTGAATGGCCATTCTGATAGAGGTAAGGTGATATCTCATTGTAGTTTTAATTTGCATTTCTCTAATGATTAGTGACGTTGACCATTTTTCCATATGTTTTTGGCCATTTGTCAGTCTTCTTTTGAAAAACTTCCGTTCATGTCTTTTGGCTACTTTTTGATGGGATTGTTTTTTTTTCTTGCTGATTTATTCAAGTTCTTTGTAGATTCTGGATATTAGTCCTTTGTCTGACATATAGTATGTGAAAATTTTCTCCCATTTTTTAGGTTGTCTATTCACTTTGTTGATTATTTCCTTTGCTGCACAGAAGTTTTTTAATTTAATTAAGTCCCATATGTTTATTTTTGTAGTTGCTGTATTTGCCTTTGGGGTTTTAATTCTTTGCCTAAGCCAATGTCTAGAAGAGTTTTTCCCATGTTTTCTTCTAAAATTTTGGGGGTTTATGCCTTACATGTATGTCTTTTACCCATCTTGAATTATTTTTTCCTTTTTTATTTGTGACAGAGTCTAGAGTGCCCTGGTATCAGCCTAGCTCACAGCAACCTCAAACTCCTGGGCTCAAAAAATTCTCCTGCCTCAGCCTCCCAAGAAGCTGGGATTATAGGCACACACCACCACGTCTGGCTAATTTTTCTATTTTTAATAGAGACAGGGTCTCACTCTTACTCAGGCTGTTCTTGAACTCCTGACCTCAAGCAATCCTCTTGCCTCGGCCTTCCAGACTGCTAGGATTACAGGCGTGAGTCACCACACCCGGCTTGAATTAATTTTTGCATATGGCAAGAAATAGGGATCCCATTTCATTCTCTTGTATGTGGCCATCCAATTTTTCCAGCACCACTTATTGAATAGGGCTTCCTTTACCCAGTGTATGTTGTTGTCTGCTTTGTTGGAGATCCGTTGGTTATAACTATATGGTTTTGTTTCTGGGTTCTCTATTCTGTTCCACTGGACTATGTGTCTGGTTTTATACCAGCGCCATGCTGTTTTGGCTATTATTGATTTGTAATATAGTTTGAAGTCAGGTAATGTGATGCCTCAAGATTTGTTCTTTTTGCTTAAGATTGCTCTGGCTATTCAGGCTCTTTTTTGTTTCCAATTGAATCTTACGATTATTATTTCTGCATCTGTGAAATATGATGTTGGTATTTTGATGGGGATTGTATTGAATCTATAAATCACTTTAGGCAGTATGGACATTTTAATGATGTTGATTCTTCCAGTTCATGAGCAAGGACTGCTTTTCCATTTCTTTTTGTCATCTACAATTTCTTTCTTCAGTATTTTGTAGTTCTTGTAAAGATCTTTCACCTTCTTGGCTAAGTATATTCCTGGGTATTTTATTTTATTTGTACCTATGGTGAATGGTATTGAGTCCCTAACTTGACTCTCTGTTTGACTGTTATTAGTATTAATATATAAAAATGATACTTATTTGTGTACATTGATTTGGTTACCTGAGACTTTGCTGAATTTATCTATCAATTCCAGGAGTTTTTTTGTGGAGTCTTTAGGGTTATCTAGATACAAAATCATATCATGAGCAAACAGGGGTAGTTTGATCTCCTCTTTCCCAATTTTAATGTCCTTTATTTTTTTTCTCTTGTATGATTGCTCTAGCTTGGGATTCTAATACTATGTTGAATGGAAGTGGTGACAGTGGGCACCCTTGTCTTGTTCCAGTTCTTAGGGAGAATGCTTCCAACTTTTCCCCATTCAGTATGATGTTGACTGTGGGTTTGTCATATATGGCTGTTATAACTTTGAGTATGTTCCTTCTATGCCTAGTTTATTAAGGGTTTTTATCATGAAAGGGTGCTGGATTTTATCAAGTTCTTCTTCTGTACCCATTGACATGATCATATTGCTTTTGTTTTTGCTTCTGTTTTTGTGGTGAATCACCTTTGTTGTTGTGTGTATTATGAGCCATCCTTGTATCTCTAGAATGAACCCCACTTGATCATGATGTTATCTTTGTGATGAATCTTCCTGGTGTTTGATGACCATCTTATATCTGGATATCCGAATCTCCGGCAATAACAGGGATATTCTCCTAAATAATTCTCTCAAACAGGTTTTCCATGCTTTTTGCTTTTTCTTCTTCTCTCTTCAGTTACCTATAATTATACATTGACTCATTTCACATAGCCTCATTTTTCTCTGAGTGACTGTCTATTCTTCTTTATTCTTTTTTCTGCAAGTTTGACTGATTGAGTTAGTTGGAAAGCCTTGTCTTCAAGCTCTGAGATTCTTTCTTCTGCTACGTGTAGCCTGTTGTAAAAGCTTTCTGCTGTATTTTGTAATTCTCTAAATGGCTCTTTAATTTATTAAATTTTGTTATATCCTTGATTATTAAACATATTATCTATCTCTTTAGTGAGTTTTTCATTTATTTCATTTCTGTCCTGGAATGTTTTTGGCCTCTTTGTATTGGTTTTCAACTTTCTATTCAGTCCTATTTATTTTGTTTGCCAGACACATTCTGAATTCTATTTCTGACATTTCAACAATTTTCTTTTTGTTGGAGTGCCTTGCTATGGATCTTACGTGATCCTGTGAGGGTATCAAGCTAGCCTGTTTTTTCATGTTGCCAGAATTCCTTTGCTAGTTTCTTCTGTTCTCTGAAACCTCTTCTCTCAGACAGAAAGAAGATAGAATTGTGGCCCACCTGTTCTCTTTTGCTGGGAACTCTCCTACTTAGTGGGAAGAAGGAGAGGTCCCTAGATAGTGCTTTTGTGTTCTACTTCAGAGGCTTGTCCCAGCAAGAGAGGGGTGGATGCACTGAAAACCTGTAATACAACTATTCTCTTGTGTAATCCCTTTCTTCTGCAGTTGTCACAGTCTGAGCTGGTGCTGGGGGATATCTGTGTGGAGAGGTGGGTTGGTCCCTAGGTTGCTGTTGGAAGCTTGGGCAGGAGGCTAGGCAAGTCCCTCTCCATGGAGAAGGTTGGTGTGGGAGTTTGCTCTGCTTGGGCCTCCATGGCAGTAATTATGGTGGCTGGGTGAGGCTATTTAAGCAGTGGTTTCAGATGTCAGGGCTGTGAGCATTTATTCTGCCTACAGGGATTCTCTTTAAGAAAAAGTATTCCAAAATATTTAATTTTTCCAAATTTCACAAAAGCATTGTAGGGCACCTCCAGTGGCTTTGAAAGTGACCCATGGAGTGAGGGGCCCTAAAAAGTTTAACATTATTAGTTTTATAGTAATTCTGCTGCTGAACTTTGGATAAGATACATGAGAAATTTAGGAGTTGTGTGTAACATAGGAGGGCAATAATATACATAAAAAAGGTAACTCTAGAAATGGCAGTACAGGAAGAATACTATGGGTAGAGAGGACTGAAAAAGAGTTAACCTTAAGCTAAAACCAGGAACCCGAGTGAAATGAGCAGTTGAAGTAAGATTAACACTCCATTCTTATATCTTCAAGATTATGAATAAAAATGATAAACCAAAGAGAACTGTCAGAAAATTCAGTTAATAAAATGTGGTATATGTATACCATGGGGTATTACTCAGCCATAAAAAAATTGGTGAACTATCTCTTGTATTATCCTGGATGGAGCTGGAGCCCATTCTTATAAGTGAAGTATCACAAGAATGGAAAAACAAACACCACATGTGCTCACCATTAAATTGGTATTAATCAACCAACACTAACTTGCACATATAGGAAGTAACCAAAGTGTTTTTACCCCTGTAGTACTCTGAAATAAAAAAAATAAATAAATAAAAGAAAAAATTCAGTTATGCATGAAGTGATTAATAACACCAATAGAAACGTGATACACACACACATACACATATGTACTCTTTCATTCATTTAGAGTTACCTTATTCGGGCCAGCAAATTTCCTTTCAAACGTGTATTAACTATACTTTATGCAATGCAATCTGTCCCTTGACAAAAGTCCACCATTCTAAGGCCATACATTTTTATCAAAAGATACATTTTATTTCTTTATACCATTTATGACTTTTTCTTTTACTATATTAGCCAGGGATTTCCAGAAAAACAGAACCAATAAGATGTATGTCTATGTCTATATCTTTATATCTATCTATCTATCTATCTATCTATCTATCTATCTATCTATCAATAGATTATTGTAAGAAATTGGCTAACATGATTATGGAAGCTGAGAAATCCAAAATCTGCAGGATAGGGTTGCAGGCTGGAGACCAAGGGAAGAGCTGTGTACCATGATCTCCCCTTATCCCTGGGGGATATGTTCCAAGATGCCCAGCGAATGTCTGAAACCCTGGATAGTACCAAATTCTATATACACGATGTTTTTTTCTATATGTATAAACCTATGATAAAGTTTAATTTATGAATTAGGCATAGTAAGAGATCGATAACAACTATTAATAAAACAAATATAGCAATTTTTAATAATAAAACAAAAATTATAACAATATACTGGAATGAGAGTTACGTGAATGTGTTTTTTCTCTCTTAAAATATTTTATTGTGTGTATTTTCGGACTGTGGTTGACCACAGGTAACTGAGACCTCTTATAAGCAAGTACTACAGTGCCTGCTTCAAGGGCTGTCCACGTTGCTCTGTGAAGGGATTTCTGGTGACCACCCTTGGTCCAGATTTTAGAACTCTATAGTGACAACTTCTTTACAACAATAAATTCTGTATCAAAAAGGCTTCTATTCAACAGTCAAAAATCACTTTCTTTCAATTGCAGGGGATAGTCTCTATTCAAATTGAAGTTTCAGAGAGTTCACGTTGCTTTAAAAGGTTTGGAAGATATAGTTGGGTTTAAATGCTCGCATATTACTGTACTCTCTGCCACTGCATGGTTTAATCTCCAAAGCTGCCTGCTATGTGTAACTGGTCTGTCTTGCGTGC